CCCTTTTCCTTTTGTTTTGCCTTTCTCACTTTTCCTTTCCCTTGTCCCTTTTCCTTTTGTTTTGTACTTTTTCACTTTTCCTTTTTGACTTTTCTTTTCCTTTTTTTTTCTCTTTTCCTTTTCCCTTTCCTTTTCGCTTTCCCTTTCCTTTTCCTTTAAAAGACAGGTGACAGGAGCCAAAAGCAAGAAACAGTAAGTACCAAATGAACCCGTTTCCTTTGCGAATCTGTGGAGTGACCTTTGTGTCATATAGCTCCTGCAGACAGCCAAGTGCCTAACAGCGCTTCTCAGCAACAAAGTCAGCGCAAACTCAGTTGATATCGTTCTCAACTAGCAATCTATATATCAGCTATCACACAGCACCTAGAAATCGTCAGAGCCGTCTTGTTACTTTGTGGTTGTTGGAAGGAGGGCACTGTCCTTTTTAGGTAGTGATTCCCTTCTCTACCACGTGTTCCTTTTCTTTCAGGCAATGGTGGCACAGTTTCCCTGACAGCTGTTCGCGAAGCTGGAGCTCCTGCGAGGCTGGAGTGGACAAAGCAAGCGCTTGGCGCGGAGCCAGACTGGAGGAATGGCCAGTGTTGGACCGTGTCGACCGTGGTTGAGGAGATGGCAAGGGTGATGAAGATCCTCACCAAAGACAACTACGACATGCAGGAGTGGAACTGCCATATGGCGCAAGAACAAGTTCGCAGGAACATGGGCCTTGAGGTCTCGTCTCCGTACAGTCCAGCCTTTGGATCTCCAAAGCCTTCGGGCCCAGTCGAAGAGTTCATTCAGATGGTATGCCGTGGAGACCTAGATGTCCGTTGAGGCAATCCTTTTCTGAGCATGCAAGGGCATCAGAAGAATGCCTTTGACCCCTCTAGTGCGGCCTCCAGAAGCATAGTGACCATGAGTCGCTAGTCGCTTTGTACAGTTGGATAGAAGGACGGACCCGAGAACTAATGATCACACAACTCTGTGTGCTGGTGGGGAAATGGAAGGCATTTCAGACACTTAACAGGATCATATCTGCTTTGCCTGCAGAGGTGCCGGAGTAGTTTCACTCAATTTTACGGCAGTCACAGTCCTTTTTTGCGTTCCGTTCCAATTGCAAAACCCCGTGCCGACAGAAGAGCCGTTCCAAGGTCTCGATGACTTGTACATAACTGCTGGAGAAGGCGTGGTTGTGCAGAGGATGGTATTTGCGTTCATGTGATTCTGCTCCAGCAAAAATCGAGAAGTGTACGGTTTGAGTACATTGTAACGTTGATGAACCCCTTGCCAAAACGACATACACATATTCGACTCAAGAAAAGTTGTGCGTCACAAGGGTTATGAGCCCAAGACTTTTAGATTGGCCGCCCTCAGATCTCACGCCTGAAGTGAGGGAATCATGCGATGGATCTTCGACGTCGTAGGTCGGTATTCGACGTCGTAGGTCGGTATCCAAGGAGAAGCAGGAGCCCTCTAAAATAAAGTAAGCAGAAAAATATGTCTCCGGTGGATGTAACGAATGATACAAGAAAGGCAGTGTCAAGCAACAGTTCTTGCATGTGGATAAAACCCACCATCACCAAAACATTTGGAAATGCAATCGCAACGTTTTGACACAAAGTTACACAGACAAGCTCCATATCCAAGCAGGTTGTATGTTCCATTGAGCACTAATCACTTAAGGAATGTTTGCCAATAGCCAAATTGTTTGTTCAAGTGCCTGCGTATGGTCGCGCGACTCCTGACAAAGACGGATATAAGGATAATGACAGCAATATGTTAACACCAATGGAGAGGAACATGTATTGAAGGATGAACGCGTAATTTACACACGAAAGGTGCAATGAATGCAGCAATCAAAGAGGACATACTGTAAACTGTAAAGTGATCACCAGCCAAAGCGCGCAGGCGCAGATTCTATACAAAAGCATGCAAACCAAGCGCATAATACAATCAACCATGATTTTTTCCGACAGTAAGCACGCAATATACATCAAAACAATGAATGTATGTACATGTGTCAATGCATGACTCATACACGGACGGCACACAACACGCAGTGTCAAGCAAGCAGTTGTTTACATGTCTAAAGAACTTCCCACCAACTTCAAATGTTTTGAAATGCAATCACAAGATTTGGACTTAGGCAACAAGTTCCAAAAACAAGTTCACTACCCAACCAACATGTAATTTCATAGACCATTACCATGAAACACTTAAGGAATGTTCGCCGATGGCCAAAGTTTATGTTCAAGTATACGTGCACCATGTTTGCATTCGAAAAGAAATACTCGTCAAAAGACATAAAGTGCCAGCGGAAAACATACACAACCACGCACCAAACACACTAGTTCTTTTGACATGGGGGCGCGCAGTCTCCACAAAGACAAAGAATGAGAGGTTTCGAAGGATATCATATGAGGACGACAGGGGATCAATGCAGTCATATAACAGCGCAACAGAAGGCACGCGTTTGGACACGCAGAACATGCTGTGACTCGCCAACTCATATTTATTATACAAACAATACAAGGAAACTCCTCTCAAGCGAACCAATTTTGTTACACGCCCAGCAAACTTTTTGAGCGCCAGAACGCAATGTGCACCAGACCTATGGACATCGCTTCGCGCGCAGTTCGACGCAAAGTGCGACTGAGCCCGAGACAAAACTACTACATAAGCGAGACACCACCAAAACGGAGCCAATACACCACCAAATCAGCAAAACAAGACAAACACACCACCAAAACATCACCAGCACACCACGCAAACATGAGCAAGATACCTCAGCATGACCACAACCAATATACCACCAACACATGGTGCGAGACACCACCTAAACATCACCGAGACAAGGCCAAAACATGACCGAGCCACCGGGACACCACTGCCCAGCCCGGAGGCCGGAGGCCGTGGATCCGACGGTGTCCAGTCGCCTGAAGAGTGTACGGTGCCCAGTCGCTATCGGTATTGGGGAAAATACCAACAAATAGTGCGGCAATGGAGTGCGAACTGATGTGAAGGCCAATATTTGGGTTCCAAGAGGGTGACCCTCAACGTTCATTGCAAACAGTACCGATGTGGCACACTATCAGGTGCTTCACATGTTTCCACTATCATGTTCGGTAGTAGGGTTGTGCGTTTATCTTTTGATTTTGGGTGATGATCAGTCGCAAGGCGAGTTTTTTGAGCAGATCGTGCGCTTGGGTCCTACAGCTGTTGGATTTGGCAGTTGGCCCTAAAGTTTCCTCAGGCGACTAGCGTCTGCTGCACGGGACAATTTAAGGTTATCTCTTTTGGAAAATGTGTTTAGCATTGCTTAGCAATGTCTATTTTTTTGTTGCAACGTTTTTCCACGATCAGTACAGACTGCCAGACCTTTGACATGAGACGTCGACGAGTTTTTGTTTTCTTGTTTCATGCCACTCACAACTCACGTGTTTTACGCCACATAGCACCCATAGCTGCGGAGTTCCGTCAGTTTTGTTTGTAGTCGCGGACTGCTCTGCAAGGTCGACTTGACAGTCACCGTTTTCTTGTTTTGTGTTCTATAAGTACAAGACAACCATAGTTAGAACTCGTTTTGATCTTGTCTATAACTCGTTTTGATCTTTAGTAACAAGAACTCGTTTTGATTTTGTCTATAGTACAGTAAAAGATCTTGTTTATAATTTGTTTTTGATCTTTTTTGTACATGCGGGACTGTTGACCACAGTGTCGTTGAGGTCGCTTTGGAAAATGCAACCGTCGATTCGATAGTCAAAAGAAACAATAGATTAATCAGATGCATTTACTCACGATGATGTCGTGTGCAACTTCGCAGCAGTGCTTGGTTGCTGATAAATAGCACTGAAATAACTTCCAGGAAATTTCTCGCTTTCCAAAGCGTTCGGTGTTGAATCACTGGTTGGTTTGGTGGAATTATTCGGTCTTTGTTTCAATGCACTCCGATGTGAATTGCTTTCTTGTTTTCTATTCCTTATATACATTTCAGTTGCTTTTGGGCAGCTGACCGGACTTGTGTCCAATTGCGGTGTCGATGCAAGAAAAACTAAAGTAAGTTGCCATCTTTGGTGCAGTGCTTTGCCAGGAGGCGTGAAGAATCAGCTGACTGAAGCGTGCTTCAAATCCCTTCTTGTGCACTCCGGGTGGGTTCGTGGACTACAAAGCAAACCGAAGACCCGGAGTCCACGAGGCCGCCTCCGCAAAAAATGGTGAACCGCAGTGCTTGCAAGCAATTTCACTGTATGAAAGATCTGACAGAGCTTTAAACACTGCGTGTTTTCGTATCCTAAAAGAACTGGAGTCATTCTTGCAATGCTGTGTTCCAGGCAGATAGTTTGACATTGAACAGCTTTTGGATGTACATTTACTGAATGCGTGTTTTGGCAGCTCTAGTTTCTTTTTCTTGTTTTGCTTCTTGTTCGGGTGGGGGTGGTGGTGGTGGTGGTGGTGGTGGTGGTGGTGGTGGT